TCATAGTGAATATCATTGAATTGGTCTTTGTTAAACAACCATTGAAAAGTTATACTACATCGGAAGATCTGTCAAGTGCTTATTGGTTTACAGTTGTTGTTAATATAAAATCAGTTTGTTATGTTAACTATGAAAATTCAACTATCTCTATAAACCCCCTCTGTTGTGTGCTTACTAGTGATAAACTTTGAGTGGTTATTCTCGAAGTTCTAGTGAAATGCCGTATTTATGCCTGTTATCCCTCGTGCGAGCATAGAACATCCACCAGGTTTCTACATTGAACTCTTTCCTTGGCAATCCTTTCGAGTTACCATTCATCCTTTTGATATTTCTCATTCCTCATGTAGTGTGTACTTTGACCTTCAATATCTTACACAGACAACTATTTATAAATATTTGTACATTTTTGATGATGATTGTGTTAATTTTCTAAGTTTCAGTTCCGTATAGTAGTACTGTCTTAACGTTCATATTAAAGATTCTGACTTATATTAGTTGACAGTTGTTTCGAGTTGCAAATGTTCTTCGATTGTAGGAATGCTTTCTTTGCATTTACATCTGCATCCCATCCTCCTTGTTCATCGATGTTGCCGACCAGATACGTGAAGTTTACAGGTTCTACTGCTTTCCCATTCTTGATTTATCTGATGGCGATGCTGATCGTTGGTGAAGCGAAATCTATAGGATGGTCTGTGTGTGCTGCTTCGATTTCCGGTGTGTTCATTGAGGCTCGTCTATTCAAGAGTTCTTCAAAGTGTTCTACACACCTGTTCCTATGTTCTTGAATCTCAGTGATTAACTTGCCTTGTTTGTCCTTGACTGATTTTTCTGGTTTACCATATTTTCCTCCCAGTTTCTTCGTTGTGTCATATACTTGTTTCATATTTCCTTCTCTTGCAGCTTCTTTTATCAGTACTTCTGGGTGCTTTTTGTAGGTCCTAATACTTCTTTTCACATGCTTGTTCGCTTCTGTGCATTCAGCTTTTGCCTTTACTTTCTCTGCTCTTGTTCGGATATTGTTAATCATTGTCTTCTCGTTCTTCTTTTCTTGAATCTTGCCCAATGTTTTGATAGAGATCCATTCCAGATGGTGATGCTTCTTGCTCCTCGCACGTCGACGTTATTGCTTGTTTGACTACTTACCAGTTGTTCTCCATAGAAGTTTCCTCTTTGAATAGATATTGTAAGGCTTGGAATCTGTTGCTGAAATCTATCATGAATTCGTGGAGGAAGGCTGTATTAAACTTTTGTAGTGCTGTTTGTGCAACTGTTCAGTTCTCCTTTAGTTTCAGTTTCACCTCGGCAACCAACAGGTGGTGATCTGATGCTATATCAGCTCCTTTCTTTGTTCTCATTTTTTCAATTGACTTTCTGAATTTTTTAGTAATACAATTACGATCAATCTGACTCTCTATAGTGTGAACCGGGGAAACCCCGTATAGCTTTGTGTACGCGTTTGTGGGGTAATATAGTTCCGCATATAACCATTTTGTTGAATGCACGTAGATTTGCAAATCGCCATTCTCCTTCCTTTCCCCCAATCAGTCCATGTCGGAGTTAATTAAAAGCCGTAACAAGTGGAATTCAGTCATGTCGAGTTTGAAGTAGTTATTAATTATTAGTGAAATTTGAGAATGGCTGCAGCTATATCCAAAATTGATTGCAATTAAGAGTTTAAACTATTGGATGCCGATTTATTTTTTAAAGGTTAGGCACTCGTAGAGTGACCGAAGTTCTTGGATTGAATCTCTGGCAAAGTCATAGCTGCTCAATACTGGAAGAGTCTCATACCAAGACGAAACAGCTGTCCAGTGCTTACTCATTGTCAATAGTTCTTCTTTACTAAGATCAGTTCGTGATGTAAACGGAAAAATTCTTTTATTTATTTGATATTAATAGAGGTTATGTAACGCTGATAAACTGTCTTTATATATGTGTGTATGTAACTTGGCTATCGCATTTACTTTGTGTTTTATGAAAACCTAACAAGTTATGTACAAACCAAATTATTTGACTTCAAATAGATCAAGACGAAGCTAATTTGATTTCAACAATAAATTTGACATAGTATCATTTGAAGTAATCATTACTAGGGAAAAGGATTTCTAGTTTGGTTTCCTACTCACGTTAACAATCTAATATTTGCCCATTTATATTTGTACTAAAGAGAGAAAAAGATTCTTAAGGTTACTTGTATTCAACCAACCAAAGATCGTGTGTATAAGATTTTTAAAGTATACCGATGTAAATGTTAGCTTGGTTACATTTGTCATTGAACATCATGCGTAAAACTTTCTATTTCACTTATTCCGTTTCTTTATTTTTTTTCTGTTTAGATTTTGATTGAATTTAAAATCAATTCGTTGTATTTGATTTCCATTTCGTTAATTTCCTCTCTCAGTGTAATATTAATTCATTTGAACTGAATTCTCATATTCATTCTAGATCCTGCTTTATTGAAAACTGACTAACTTATGTTTAGACTAATATTATTAATAATGTTCCTGTTCAATTTAAGATTGTGCGGTATATTTAAACAATTTCACATAGTTTTATGTTCTGAACAAATAAAAACCTTTGTCAGAGGGTTAGAGATTATCGGCAGGATATACTGGACTTAGTTTTCATGCTTGCTGGCAATTCACATCATAAATGTTGATTCAACCATTTAAAACTATAATAATGGTGTTTAGATTTTTAAGCTTATCATGAATGCAACTACTTTAATTGTTTGCAAATTATGTTAATGTCGTTTTCTAATTTGATCAGTTTAACTTGAAATAACCAAAATTAACGTTTAGTGTCCATTTAACGATATTCGAATGATTGATTGTGGTTAGCAGTGGAACTCAGGACGCTCGTTTCGTCCTATTCGAGACTCGTCAGCTGAATGTACCTTCATCTCCGAGTTGATGTTCACTCTGGGACTCGAACCCAGCACTGTACATCCAGCAGACGAGTCCCAAATAGGACGAAACGCGCGTCCTGGATTCCAATGCTAGTCACTATCCATCTTTGCTTATAATGCTTGTAAATTAAGGCAATATCGAGGCAATACACACAGTATGCACATATGCCAATAAGAGACTGATCAATTTCAGTCCTAAAACATCAATGGGAAGATTCAAGTAAAATAATACCAAGTGTATTATATGTTTTATTTTAAATTGATCCTCTTCAAAATTTCAATCTTATCACTATCTGTCGTACCCTAAAACACTGGCTCGATTCTTGAGGAATTTATTTATCCTCCTAAGGATTCACTAATGAACTTCATAGTTAAATCGGTTTTATTTAACGGTAACTTACAAAAAAATTTATCAAGAACCTATGTGGAACACTGGCTTAAACACTCTACTTATAACCAGTTGATTACAGATTCAAACTTACCTTCAACCATTTCAAAATGAATAAACAGTTGATATTACTCACTTTTATTAGTACTCCAAAACAAATATATAAATCTTTAGCAGACAAATATGTTTAACACATTAACAACCTACTAGTAAGTTAATGAAATATAAAAATATATCTATTTCTATCTACTGTGACAGACAATCTATTATTTACACGTATACATTTGCCATCATGTAAAGTTTATTCATCACAGTTGGTGGAACACTCGCTTATCTGGTTAGCATGATCGGTTAACAAGGCGGATCTGATACAGACGTAAATACAAGAATTGGCAAAGCAAGGAAGTCATTTTTTCAGTTGAAGAACATATGTAACTCAAAATAACTGTCAGCCAGTATAAGTCAGAATCTCTAATACGAACGTCAAGACAGTTCTGTTGTACGGAGCTGTGTTAGTTTTCCAACAGAGCCATCATCAAATATGTACAAATATTTCTAAACAATTTTCTATCTAAGATACTGAATGTTCGTTGGCCGTATATCATCAACAACAGCCTACTATGCAAGAGAACAAATCAGTTACCAGTTGAAGAAGAAATTAGTAAAAGATATTGGATGTGGATAAGACATGCATTGAGAAAATCATCACACTGTATCCCAAGACAAGCACTTACTTTGAATTGTGAAGGGAAACGAGAAAGTTGAAGATCAAAGAACACATCCCATCAAGGATTCGAAGCAGACATCGAAAGAATATATAGCAAGTGAAAAGGATTTCACAGGATAGAGTTGAACGGAGAATACCGATGAACAGCCTATGCTCTTTTATGACAAGTAACGGGCATAAGTAATTATGTATCATATAGAGTTGTGATCAACAGCTAATATATGTGAAACATATTAAATTAATAAATATTATTATTATTATTATTTATACGCATAAAATTATCATTATCAATGATACAACATAAAATGTCAATCGTACAATGAATGATTATTGTTAAATAAAATGAATAAATAGTTCAATATATCATTCATTCTAAATAAATTAAAACGGTTTATTTCTCTTTGTTTTCATTTTCCTTCTTTTTCTCTCTTTTCTTCTTCTTTTTCTTTTTGTTTTTCTTTTTGAAAATGAATTGTATGTAATATTGAATAGAAAATAATTATATTATCCAAAATTACTATTAAATAATGAACAATGAACATATAGAACAACTGATCTTTCTGTCCCTCTCCCTCACTCCTTCCCTCTCTCTCTCTCTCTCTCTTTCTCTCTTGGTAACTTCATCTTACTATTGTGTATTGTTATTCCCTTTTCTAGAGAATATGAATTATGTATATATATATATATATGTATATAAATTCATGTGAATATGGAAAAAAACTAATCATGAAATTGTTTACAATATTGATTATTATTATTATTATTATTATTAGTTTACAATTAATGATATTAATTATGTAATCTAGTAACCAATTTATCGATTTTTTTATTGAAAGTTTGATCAATTTTGTTTTGTTTTGTTTCTTTATCTTAATAAAATAATACTACACTAATGTTTGTTCCAAACTTAAACGTGAGTTCAAAATGTAAGTTTGTTCTTTTTTTTGTGTGTGTTTTTTATTTTTTGTTTTTTTTTTAAAAAAAAAGAAAAAGCGAGTTACTGAGCAGTTTAAAATGTCTAATTCTATTGAATGAAAATAAGGTGAAGAATGAAAGAAGAAAAGAAAAAACAAATGTGAGATAGTATCATAAAGAACTTCAATAAAGTAATATACTTAAACTATCAAGGTATTCAATAATAGAAATGTAATTATGAATTAATTAATTATCATTTTTATCATTTGGATGTATATTCATTGGTAAATATGATTTAGATGTTGGTGATTCTGGTTCATTTATTGTTGATTGATTTGGCATAACTGTACCAAGTGGTGATGTATTTTCTTGTAAACGCATTGCTGCAGCTAAACTCATACGTTTTTTATTATGACGACCTATACTAGATGAATTACGTTTTTCACGATCTGTTATATTAGTTACATTAGATAATTCACGTGTATATTCTTCTACAACTTCATCTATTTCTTTATCAATTTCAGCATCTTTTTGAGCTAATTCTTTATAACATAAATGATTAACTATACCAGCTCCAACTGCATCACCCATTACATTGATTGAAGTACGAATTCGATCACTGAAAAAAAAACACAAAAAAGAAATTTAAGCCATAAACCTACTAATATTTAATGATATTGATGAGAAACTTAACGACTTTTCATTCTGTTCATTTTATGATTCAGTTGTTCTCATCACAGTCCATGAAATTGTTTTATTATTTATTAATTTATTTGAACGCATAAATATTGGTACAAGAGGGCACCAAATTTCGTTGGTCACTGAAAAGTAAGGTAAGATTAGCGCAGACCAGGGCATGATCAGAGTTCAGATAGGTACTCCAAAAGGAGCGACAGTCTTGTACACAACCACGACAGCGGTAGCTGATCAATCTGAGTCCAGGCTTGAGATCCAGAAGGAAGATGCCAGGTGGCACATCGGCGATGACTGTGCCGGATGTTATTGCTAGCCAGAAACAGGTTATCTGTCCTGAGACCAACAAATCCCCATCGGCCACCTAAACGACCCTCTTCTGTGCCTAGACTCCCATCCTGAGCACCGAAATCTCCGACTAGGACTACAATATCTGTCGAACGCACTTTCTGGAGAAGAACTGATAACTGGTGGTAGAATTCATCCTTGATTGCATCCGGGCTACGATCTGTCGGGGCATAGGCGAAGATGACGGAAAGACATCGTTTCTCACTTGTTTTATAGAGAGAATCAAATATGATGTAGACAAGTAAATTTTGGTGCAATTGTTTAAACACTTGAGAGATGTCAACATCAACATTGTTTTAGCTTGTATTTTTTGCACAATTGAAGAGTCTCAAACCAGTATGAATTAGTTATATTGTTTATTAATCTGTTTTCCATGATTTAAATTATCCAACTTTAATAGAAATGAATGACGTGTAGATTTTTCAAATCTTAGTCATAGTTATTAACAGGGAAATTCTTTCAGACAAACTAAATTTTTTCAATTAGTTGTTTCCTTTGAAAACACTGAGTTCATGTTCCAGAGTGAACATCAACTCTGAGATGCAGGAACACCCAGCTGATGAATCTTAAATAGGACGATGTGGCGCGCGTCCTGGATTCCACTGCTAGCTGTTATATCCCGATAAGAATAATGAATGGTAACTTTTGGGATCCATTTATGGACCAATACTATGAGTATATTTTTATCGTATAATTGTTATGTTACTAAACTGTCCATATTCATATTTCTCTTATTATAAGCTTTATTTTGACCCATAAAGTATTATTATACGTTTTACCATTCTTGAGTTATACCCAGTATATTAATTACTACCTCCCTCATTCACAGCCACATCTGGCTAATTCTTGTACAAATGTTATGTCCTATTTTATGGTACGATATGGTCTGTTTGATTGGTATATAAACCGAGTATGTTTGAAATAAATGATTCATGTTGCAGAGGCTGAGATTGGTGTTCTGGACTTAACTAGCTGGTCTAGGCTAGCCGGGAAGCAAGACCACTTAGGACTCTAGGTTGCTCGCGGGTGTTTTATGCGTCACTGGTTCGATCGATAATTCGCTGCTCTCTGATTGACTGTATCGTTGCGTTATACAGTAACAGGGCACACAGATTCACAAGTTATAACACTATTCACTATCCATCTATGCTTATAATGCTTGCGACCTAAGGTCATATCATGACAATTCGCACAGAATGCACATATACTAACAAGAGACTCATCAAATGCAGTCCTAAACATCAATGGGAAGATACAAGTAAAACAACTCCAAGTGAACTTTGAAAACTTAGTTCACACTCACAGACTAATGTTAAATCAATGATCAATGAAATCTTCGATGTTTATGATTTTTGCCTGAGAGATTTGCTCTGCTTTCCTATGTGAATATAAATGAAGATCTTTTCCAAAGTGAAACTATTTAAATAGAAATAGTATGATATATCGAAGAAGCTAAGCAAATCATTTATGTTTAATGATAGCTTGAACAACAGTTTGCTAACTTGCTCATAAACGTATTCATTTAGTGATGAAGTTCCCCAGGCAACCTTGTTTCATTCCTATGACTTAGTAAATATCATCAAACATCATCAAATAGATTGTACTTGAAACGAACTGCAAAAATATAACGATACGAAATAGTATTCTATTAATCATTCGAAATCCTAATTGAAAACAGTGTATATCGTAAAATTGAATAGTTCCCATAGATTTACACAAATATGAATTATGTGCTTAGTTGCGATTCGCTCTCTCATTATTTCTTTCAAATCAATTCAGAAACGGTAATCAGTGGTTGGTGAAGCATAATCGTAATGAAATAGATTTTACTAACTGTAATCAATAAAAGTTATACAATATCGAGGATTTTTCTCCGTTGGATACTAACTTAATGATTTATGAGTAATGCATTCTCTGTATGGGTTGAGAATCATGCGTTCGACCCCGAGTGAAGTTATGTTTGTGTACTATTAAAGAGCTTACTAATAGCACAATGTTATCTATTGACTTTTAGTTGTTTAGCTAAAGACAATTTTTAATGTAAAACTATAAAGTAATTTTATTATCATAAAATAAAGTAGATTATTGTTTATTTTTAAACTTACAGTAACCAATCAACCGCTAAAATTAAAGAAATATCTTTTGTAGGCAATCCAACAGATGTAAGCACTAACATCATAGTAACTAAACCAGCGCTTGGAACACTCGCCGCTCCTATTGCTGCCAACGTTGCTGTTAAACTGATAAAAATAATTTATAGAAAATCATTTAATAAACAAGTTAATAGAAGTTATAAAGCTTAATTGATACATTGTTAACTGATTACTGATCTTTCTTCATTATTCTTCATTAATCATTACTCGTTACCTTATAAGTAATATCACAGAAGTATCTTGTAACTAATGCATACATTAACTGTAAGTCACTTGGTTATTTGGTTAATATTTTGGAATCACATTACTGAGGAAAAAAGTTATCATTTATCCAAGTTTTATTTTTTTTCTTCAGTCAATTGTACCGTTCTATCACTAAACAATATTAACAAATTAGATTATATACATTTGCGTATATACTAAAGGTCAAAGAACATACTGCGTCGGGAAATGGAAACAGATATGAAAAGGATCAATAGCAATTGGAAAGGATTACCTAGGGCAGAGTTGAATGGAGAATACTGGTGAGTGACTTATGCTCCTCTATGTGGGATAGGTAACAGTAGTAGTTAAGTAATATATATATATATATATATATAGATTAAAGTTATCAAATTTTAAATAGATCACTATATAATGCAGTGATTCATACAAGTTATACATTAGAAAAACCAGATGTAATTAAGATCATGAAACAACCAATGTTAAACCACCACTGAAAACCTGGAAGCACTGGACGGTCGTTTCGTCCTGGTAGGGGACTCCTCAACAGTGAGCATACGCAATCTCACCCGCGGGCTTCGAACTATTTTTGTTTACAAGTGCGTCTACTAAGTAGGTTGTCTATGAAAACTATAAAACTTTACCTTGAAGATGTCATTAGACATTGGTAAATTAGTTTATTGTTAAATATATAACATTAAGTTCTCGAAATATTATTATTCCACCTAGTTAGAATTATTTGAGATTAAGTTATAAGATGAAAATTTCCCCCAATTTAGTAATTAAATTATTTAATAGATGAATTCATGAGTCAATTGGAGCTAAACCACAATGGAAAGCCTTGAAGCACTGTTTCGTCAAAGTATGAGACTCTCTAGTAATCTGCATCCACGAAACGACCGTCCAGTGCTTCCGGGTTTTTCATGGTGCTTTAGCTTCACTAGACTCATAAATTGATCTATTAGATATCCACATATTGATTAAAGTAATAATATCTCTTAGTATATAACATAACCAATATTTAATTCAACTTGTAAACTGGTATTGGACCATATTGTTTCTAATATTTTTCACTGAATTTCGATTCTAAAACCATCATAAGATTGAACTTAAATCCATTCACGTTGCATAAGCTAGTGGCTATGTGTACTTAATGTCTAAGTGGATAATGACTTGAGTGTTTGAAGCTATAGACAGTGTGGTTGAAAATCGTCACTGAGATTACAGTACACTCAGCCAATGAGTCTGAAACAGGAGAAAATAAATACTGTGACTTCCACTACTAGACACATTCTATCTTTTTTCTATTTGAACTTTATCAAGAAAATTGGATATACGAAATCATGGTGAACATAATCCATATTCTACTGAAAGGATTCTAGAACATCCAATTTTATGCATACCACTTTTCTTACCTGAGTAGTTATTTATAAAACATATTTAAATTATGTGTAACTAATTAAGATAACAATGTTCATGGTTAGGAAAAAGGTTATTTTCTAACTTAATTCATTCAAAATTAAGCAAACTTTATTTTTTTTCAAAACTGGATAGTGGCTAGCAGTGGAATACTGGACGCGCGTTTCGTCCTATCTGGGACTTGTCAACTGGATGTACCTACTTCTGAGAGATGATGTTCACTCTGAGACTAGAACTCAGTACTGTTCACTCCAAACGCCATCACGTTATCCACTTAGATACTGTGTCCTGATAGCCACTTGCTCGTGCAATGTGAAGTTTAAATTCACTTGATATTGTTTCTTTGAATCTCTCATTGACATTTAGCACTTTATTTAGAACTTTATTTCTATCCATAGAAGTGGATTGTCTCTTTTAAAAATACTACAAGTGATGTAATTTTATGCTTAATTATAATATGCACTACATGTTAATAACTAGTTGACTTTTTCAGTTATAAAGAATGGTATAGTTTTGTTGAAATAGTCATAATCAATAAGACCTTGGCCAAAAGTATAGGTGGTTTTGCTTGAACGCTTATATACTACTTACAACTTTTGTTAATAGTATAAAAATTATCACTAAGGTTTAATTTGATAAATGAGTGGAAAATTACAGTGATTGTCACTGTAGAATGCAATTATTTGAGATTAATTCAAAACGAGTATTGACTCTTTACAATTTATTTAAGATTTGAACTGTTTCGACATTATCCTTGGTTCGGTATGTTATCGAGGATCATAAGAATAAAACGTATCACTTATTTATTTATTCATTTGAACACATAAATATTGGTAGAAAAGACCATCGAATACATATGCACCACACAAGTCACTTGATTTGTGTGTGGACTCTGATACTGCACGGCTGCCCAAACCGAAGTAGGTGGTTTACTTAGAGGGCCACACTAATTATTGGTCATCGAGTACCACGTGACTGCATTTTCTGACGTTGCTACAGTGCCTTGTGGATTATTTCTTTTGGTCAAAGGCTCCGAATGTGGCTCTCTCAGAAAACCACCTGTTCCAATTTGGGCGTGCGGGCAGTATTACAGCCCAAACACAAATCAAGTGACTTGTGTGGTGCATATGTTTTCGGTGCCTCCTTTTACCAATGTTTATGTGTTTAAATAAATTTAAATAATAGAATATATTACCATTACTGGAAAACAAACAAATAAATGCACTCATTATTTAAGAAATGTGTAGGTGTTTGATTTCATAAATATTTAAATAATTATCATTGATTGAGATCATCAACCGATCTGAGTTTGAAAACCATCGAAAATCTAAACGTAACGAACAACCAATTCGTAGTATCATAAAACTTCTTAGCAGTGAGTATCTACTACTCATCAACTAGGAACCAAACACAGAACCTTTGTTCTCATGGATGCTTACTTCTGAGGAGTCCCATATTAGGACGAAACGGCCGTTTAGTGTTTTCAAATTTTCAATGCTGATCTAACGTTGATCGGTTCATCATCTCAATTTCAATCTAACAATCTCCACAACCCTATACTAAAAAATCAGAAATACTACAAAAACCCCATATGCCAAAAAATATCTATCTATGATCATTTTAGTTCATACTTAGTTGATTAATTTGAAATGGTTTATAACTGAGGATATTTTCAAATGAATCATATTACAATACAATAATACATTTAAATAACACTTTTATTACTTATCAGTAATTAAAACAAGAATAAAAATAGGATTCTAATTATAATCAAACTAACAATAGATGATCCTAAAACAGGTACATCAACAAATTAAGAAAAAATTAATTTGACTAGAAGATAAGAAACAAACTATCAAGGGAATTAGAATTGAATAAATAAAACAATGAGTTGTTATTCATTTTGTTCATCATCTATTTTTCTTTAATTCTATTAACTATTTTGCTTATTTTATTAATTGAATTGATGAGTCAATTGAAACTAGACCACTATGGAAAACCTGGGAGTACTAGATGGCTGTTTCGTCCTAGTGTGGGATTCTTCAGCAGAGCGCATCCACGGCTTCGCCTTGTGACATTCGAACCCAAGACCTATTAGTCTCGTGCGCAAACGCTTAACCACTAGACCACTGAGCCGGCCGACATCCAACGGTGTTAATATTTAACTTTAACCAATTCATGAAATTACGCCACGTTTACCATTGTCTTCAGTGAGGTAATATCTCACAACAGACTTGGTTGATCTACCATGGGTAGGACTTCTCACTAGAACTCCAAGAAATACCTCTTGAAGCTAGTCACGAGTGAGCTTATGATGATTATAATCGGACAGGGGTTTTATGGAGATTGTAGTGATTTAATAATTGAATTCATGAGACAATTGAAGCTAGACTACCATGAGGAACCTGGAAGTACTTTTTGTCCAAAACAATATGAGAATGATGGACAAGTTAGGTATACAACGGAAATATATAATTTTTAAAAGATAATTACTGTTTGTAAATGATATTAAAATAAGTAAGATTGGAATGGTGAACAGAAAAAAACAAAACGAACGAATACACACGTTTTAATAGTTGAATTCATGAGTTGATCTAAGCTAGACTACTATCGAAAACCTGAAAGCACTGGACCCCTCATCAGTGAGCATATACGATACCACATATTGGATTCGAACCCAGGACCTTTGCTACCATGCGCGTACACATAACCTGTAGACCACTGAGTCGGTATCCAACGATGTCAATGTATAATTTCAATCGATCCATGATCTCGTGAAACCCTTTATTCACTATCTCTGAAGTGGATAACTGTCTACATCCAACACAGATTGGACTCCACTGGTCAAGGCTATTTTGAACCAATGATGAATATAAAACTAGCTTATCATTTAATAAATAATTACTAATTTTTACTTATATTTCATTTTATTCTTTAGCACGCAAAATCTGTTGTTAGTTGTACATAGATACTTGAATGAAATGTCAGATCAAGAGTTGATGAATATTTCGAAAATGTTTACATCATGAATTGAAAACCATTGGTAACCTGAAAGGATTGTATATTTCTTTCGCCCTCATATAAGACTATTGAGTAGCATGTACATAGAACCTAGCCATAAAAAGAGTGTAGTCGTTTTCATTTTTAATCATTCTTTTGTGCATGAATTAGATTAGCATTGATGTCAACCTTTCAATGATTTGAGAACTCCCACTTCCCAATAATACTTAGTGTGACTACTTTTAGTGAAACCTGCATATGAGGTAACTCACTATTCACCTATACTTAATCACTTTACCTGTTCCCGAGTGACGACCTTTTCTACATGCAATCAGGTTTTGTCTGCATCGAGAACGAGAATGTCTGTTTCGTTAGAGTTCACACTTAAAAAAGAATGGGATTCGCATAGTGTTTACTGAAAAATTTTCTACAGTAATTTATGGTGTGAAATGAAATGATTACTTTTGATATTATACAACAACAGCCTAATGATGACCTCAATTGACTGTCAATCGTTGTGTTGTAAATATATACATCCAAATTTCTACAGTAATTCGTATAGTTGGGTAGTGTCACCTGCATTATTAGATAATTCATTGTTTACTTCATGCTTCAAAATATCTTCCTTGTAAAATGCTATACTCGACTAATTCCAATGCTCTTGTAGTGTCGGTTACTATGTTAAGCCCACATAAGTTATTCTAGTTTCTGGATAAGATAATTTATCCATTCTTTTTGATTCACGTTTTGACCCTGTTACCTATAATCTTGTCAACCCCTGACTGCTTTTATATGAGCGTATGTGTGTAAACACTTCTTATTCTATTCATCACATATCTGTAACATATTTTTATCTGGCTGTAAATATGAATTACCGCTTGATTAAATGTAGTTGGCTCACATGCCTTCTTCATCGCGCATCATTTCATTTCGTTCCTTTGATCGTCTGCCTGGATCAATGATCCTTCCTCATATTTGATTTATTTTAACACCATTATTCACTAACGCTAATTAAGTCAACGAGGATTGACGATATAAATATCTCAATATCAATCATTCGTACGATCCAAATAGATTCAGATAAGGGTCCCACACTCTACGTTTATTATCCTCATATAATTTGGACTCAGATCAAGCATTCTGTTATGGCATGATCGAATAAAAGTTCAAATTTTAATAATACTTGATCTAATTATGATCATTCTCTATTGTTTCTTTTGTTTGTTTTTGGAACTTACCTTACAATAAATACTTCAATAATTGTCAAATATTTTCCATTAATTTGTGCAATGAAAATTGATGCAACAGCTTCATATAGTGCAGTTCCATCCATATTGATTGTTGCACCAATAGGTAGAACAAAACGTGTTACACGTTTATCAATGCCTAGATTTTGTTCTAAACAACGAAATGTAATTGGTAGAGTAGCTGCACTGGATGCAGTTCCAAGTGCTGTAATCCAAGCCTTTTGTAGGTTGTATAAACAGAGTGAAAAAAGATAGAAATAATACAATTCAGTATTATTGATAATAGTCATAGTAGTGAAACATGCTATATATATATATATATATATATATATATATATATATAAAGACGAACTATGGAAGACATGAGCTTTTTAAGCAAAGATGGATAGTGGCTAGCAATGGAATCCAGGATGCGTGTATACTCGAAAATGAAGATCCTAGGTTAGATCCCTATGTGCGAAATCGTGAATAGAGATTTCTGAGGAGTCCCATAGGAGAACAAAATGGTCTTTCAGTGCTTCCAAGTTTTCAATGGCTATCTAACATCTATCTATTCATAAATTCAGTGGAACTCAAAACTTTCCACAACGGCATACTTGCATGTGTTAATTTATTTCTACTGCATTACAGTTAACATTCTGTGAATAGTAATTGTCTTTTGTCTCTCTCATTGTTGTCCTGTTTGGTAGTGTAGTGAGCGAAGATGTTGTGGAGTTAACCAATTTATTGTCTCATACAAAATTGCAAAGTTCTTTCTTAAGATATGGAAACCATACATTAAATACTTTATTTGAAAATCTTCCATTAATTGTCCTTTTTGTCCTTCATAAATCTTTCAATTCAAAATATCTTTCTGTTTTCTTCAATGCTATCTTCTCAATCTTCTTCTTTCAGGCCTTCAATCTCTGACCAGTGTTATATATTACTTATGCCTGTCGATTCAAGTAGCATGCACCATAGTTGTAGTAAACTAAAGGAAAGCCCAGAACAGAGTGGGTTGGAGAATACTGGTCAATGGTTTATACTCCATTGGGAGTAACAGGCGTAGGTAAGTAAGTCATATTCTAATACATTCATCGTAACTTGACATTCATTATTGACTTAATTTAATGTTTTCACTGATACACTTAACACTTTGTTGGAAAGAAGCATGAAATACTCTTTCGTATACGAGTTCATTAGTTGTTGTTTTCTTTTAAATAAAAGAATGTGTACGAACAAAAAACCACTTAATACCCTAACAACAAGTACTTGATCACTCATTTATACTATCAGAGAAAAATTTATATACATTTCACTCATTCGTTTCAATCTATTAACTTGATAATAATTTACATTAGATCTTATTAAAACTACCTTCATTTAAAAGAGAGAAGGAAAAGAAAAAGAAACTGTACAATCGACAAAAAAAGGAAATCTATATTTTCACTTAAGTGTAAAAGAAGAGATAAGATTAGTATCTAAATCAAAAAAAATTAGATAACAATATCTAAGGTCTATTTATGATTAACAACCGATTCATTTACCCCACCCCACGCCACGCCATGCCACTCCACCCCCTCCTAAAATGAACTAATTTACATCATTTCTTCTTTACTTTTCTTTTTTAATTCTACGATAAAGTTTAGTTAGTGGTTTTATTTCTTCTTCTATTCTAGTTTTACTGTTCACATTAAAATCTCTTTTGAGAGGGTATAAATTGTATTTTTTGTTGTTGTTGTTGTTAAGATGGAGGGGGGGGGGGTAGGTCTTTATTTTAGTTGATTAGATTAAAACGTATCCACTATGAATATAAATTATATCTTGCTCCTTCCTTGTGTGTGCATGTGTACATATATATATATATATATATGTGTGTGTGTGTGTGACTGCGTGTGAGGTTAATCTTTTTTTCTACCATGGTAAACTGAAAAGCGAATAACCATTTTTCATAATCTATTTTCTAATCTTATCCAAAGCAAAACAAAAAAAATTATTATTATTTTCTTGTAAATTTAATGAAGAATTTAGACAATTCATTTGTCGATGAAATTTGAGTGTTGTAGGGAGAATGAATGAATGATAACATGATTTTAATAATATGAAGTTCAACGAATGGATCTCTTTTCAAAGAAGCTGTACAATCGTATATATATATATATATATATATATATATATATATATATATATATATATATGAAACTTTTCTTGTTAAAGTACTAGTTTCTTGAAGAAATGTGAACATAAATAACCAAGATGATATAATAGAAAGATTATAAAACTAGATTACGTAATATGAATGCTAACAATAGTTTTAGATTCGAATACGGGGATAGGTCCCAGTTTGGTTCTTCAATACTTCTATACTTGAACAGCTAATCGATTGTAATCATTTTACGGTACCATAGTTTGATTTTAAGGTAGTATATATGATCCGTTCAAATCTACCTAGATTTCTTAGTATCCAACTCCTAAAAATAGTCGAAGCTTTTGCCATCCATGAGCTCATAGTAGAACTATGCGTACAAAAGGAATACGTCCTATCGTTATCGTTACCATGGTTTTAATTATTATTATTATTGCTGCATTCCCTCTTTACTTGTGTCTTATATTCTGATTATTTTATTCATAAATACTGATAGCATCCGGTCAATGGATGTTGAGTATCTTGAGTAGACAACTATTTATAATTACTTGTGCATTCTTGTCTTGGCATTCGTATTGAACATTGTGACTTTGATATTGGTTAACAGTTGTTTTGAGTTGCAATTGTTCTTCAATTGTAGTAATGAGACCCTTGCTTTGATAAGCTTCGCCTTTACGTCTGCATGTGATCCTCCTTGATCATTGATGATGCTTCTTAGGTACATGAAGGATTTCACATCTTCCAGAGTTTCGTCATCAAGTGTGATTGGGTTAGTGTTCTCCATGTTGTATTGGCGGACCTTGGTTTTGCTCTTATTTTTATTATTATTATTATCAGCTTTATTCAATATTATATTTTTGGTACAATATGGAATTCTCAGCGTAAAGTATTTCAGCAAGTTTCCGTTTCTTTCATCTTGGTTGGTCCTGGCGATAAACATTGAGTGACCGCCAGTTAGATGTTAGCAGTTCAGTAAATAAACATTTGAATAATGTGCATTCTTTTCTCTGTATATTGCCAGCAACCACATTGGCTCTTATTGAGTTTTTTGTAACTTTGACAACGAAAGGTTGTACACTTTTCAGAAATACACCAGGATAGGTTGTGCGATTAATAGACATAATGATATATTAAAACAAACAAAAATAGATAACTTGTTGAAATATCTGAATGACATGAACAGGTAGCCCAGATGCTCAAGCAGGCCGCTCTTGTGTATGTTAAGGCCTATTTTTGCAGAGGCTGCTGGTACACTAGTTGTCTTCATCTGTATTTGTTCGTGTGTATGGGACAGGAGGGCCAGGTTATCTGAGAAGTCCAAATCTTCTGATCGATTCTGAGCTATCCATTATATTCCATGCTTCATTGTCTAACTTCAGTTCTTCAGCTGGTATATTTTCTGGTCCTGCTGCTTCCCTGCTCTTGATTTGTCTGATGGCCAACCTGATTTCTTCCGTCGTTACATTCACTAAATCTAAATCTATTGTTATTACTCGTATTACGTAGTCTAGTATTATAATCTTTCTATTACATCATCTTGGTTATTTATGTTCACATTTAATAGGGGAATTAGTACTTTAACAAAAGATTTTCATTTATATACGATTGTACAGCTTGATAATAAGTTCGTTGAAAAAAGAGATCCCTTCGCTGAACTTCGTGTTTTTAATTTAGAATGATTTCAATAGTTGAATTCATGAGTCCATTTAAGCTAGATCACTATTGTAAACCTGGAAGCATTGGATGGGCCTTTCGTTCTAATATAGGACTCTACAACAGTGCGCATCCACGATCCCGAATATGGAACTCGAACACAGGACCTTCGGTATTTCACGTGAGCTCTGAACTTTTAGAAAACTGAGCTTTAGTCGACTCATGAATTCAGGTATTAATATTACTTTAATTCTGATAAAAATGATAACATAGTTGAGCATAGAGATATAAACATTTTTAAATCAGGAAATAATCAGTAATGTTAACGATTTTACAACTAAATTAAATGATTATTAAAACTAAACGCATAGGTCTAAATAAATTATAATCCGGAACATTCGCTTTGCGTCCTCTCAATTTCGTAAACAAAACACCCACTACGAGAAGGCAGTGAGTAGGACTTCTCTGGTAGTGGCTGTATACGCGTGTCCATGTGAGAGCATTTGTAAAGGGTAAGCTGACTTTCCTCACCCTTGATCGTACCAGGGCATTAAATCAATATGAGGTATAGCATCACGAAATGTTGAGCTACCTATATGAAAGGATGATTTATAATGAGCTTTAATAAATCATCATATGAATGATGACTTAAGTTTGAATTGAACTTAGCTATCTATTTGATTCATCTGCAGTTACCTACAGTGTACTGTTAAATACATCTCAGCTTAGTTATAAATACTCAATTTCAGACAAGAAATTCATCTGAACAGAAAATATATGTACATGTTCAATTCTTTTAAACTAACCAAGACTTATCATATGAAGTGAACTCGAACTGAAATAAACTATGAATAAGTAGCTTATGTTTGTTATTACTTTCAATATATAAATGAACAAAACTATAATCTTATTCAAAGTTTTCACTTTTCACAAAACATATTGAGATCTCAATTCAACTGATGTGTCCCAACTAGGACGAAACACGCCTCTTGTATTCTACTGCTAGCCATTATTCATCTTTGCTTATTATTGTGAATCAATGATTATTTTTTTTAAGAAAACAAATGTGATTATTATTCATATTTGAACAATGTCATAGTTACTCACTTGAAATAAACCTTTATAGAATGTGAATGGATTTTTTCTTGTTACCGAATAATAGAGTAATGCTAATGTACCAAGTAAATGTATAGCCAAACCAGTAACTACAGTTATCATATATAAACCTAATGCTTTTGCTGTATCACTTAAATTTTCAATTTCTAACATTTTACTTAATATTAGAAAGAATATACCAAATGGTGAATATCTGAAATGGAATAAATAAATAAGAGATAAATTATTACAAAAGAACAATAAAGGATTTAGAAGAACAATAAACAGATTGGAATTATGAAAATTAACTTACATTGTAATGGTCAAGGTAAGCGTATCATTTGGTTATAACCATAGTAACTCTGCTACGATGTATTTCGATCATGGTCAATCTTTGTCAAGCCCTTTGATGAACTTATTTAACAGATAATGTTATTTGGATAGTAACAATTCATCTATTTCTTTATATCATTGTGATCATTATCATGTCTGTATGAACTTGTAAACTTGATCACATGTGATAGCTACGCACATACCACTTTTTAGTTTAAGAGTTGATCGCTATGGCAGTGTTTATCACTGAAAGGAGTACCAAAGAAGTATATTAACCTTATAAAGGCTCTCTTCTCGAACACAACTGGTAGAGTGAGAGCTTATGACGAACTGTCATCAGAATTGATTACCTCAAGTGGTGTTCGTCAGGGCTATCCACTCTCTCCATTCTTGTTTAACTTTATCGTAGACATACTTATATAGATAACACATTCCATATCCGAATTTCCAGAGGTTGAACTTCTACCGGGAGATTCACTTGTTGACTTAGAATATACCGATGACATAGTTTTATTTGGTGAAGACACTGACAAAATGCAGAGTCTTCTGACGACTCTAAGCAACAATGCAAGCATGTTCGGCATGCAGTTCTTTCCCTCGAAATGCAAAATGTTGCTTCAGGATTGGGTTACATCGACACCCGAACTAGTGATAGGGAGTGAAGTAGTTGAGTGTGTCGACCGCTTCACTTATCTTGGAAGTCTCATCAGCCCTTGTGGTTTAGTGTGTGACGAAATCTCAGCACGGATACAGAAGGCTCGACTAGCTTTTGCCAACTTGCGTCATTTATGGCGTAGGCGAGATATCCGTCTATCAACCAAAGGACGTGTTTACTGCGCAGCAGTTCGTTCCGTCCTACTTTATGGCAGTGAAACATGGCCGGTAAGAGTAGAGGATATCCGTAGGCTACTAGTATTTGATCATAGGTATCTTCGAAACATTGCTCGTATATCATTGGACCATCGAGTAAGTAACACAGTTGTTAGGAAACGGGTACTAGGTAAGGATGGCAAATCAATTGATGAAGTAGTGAAACTTCATCAGTTGAGATGGCTGAGACACGTGTTACGTATGCCCAACGACCGACTGCCTCGACATGCTATGTTCAGTGGTATAGGAGTAGGTTGGAAGAAAGCTAGGGGTGGCCAGACCAAAACATGTCACAAATCGATGAAATCACTGACAAGTGAACTGAGTCATGTTGTTAGGTGTAGACTACCTGGTTGGGGACCGAGAGATGATAGCAACCGATGGTTAGAGACCTAGAATGACATGGCTCAAAATCGTTTGCAATAGCGCAGGTGCATCCACTATTTGTGTTCTCCCAAATTCTAATCTTCTGAATTATTCATGTCCCCTTCCTTTTTCCTCTTTCCAAATTTATTTCTCTGTATTATGCTCCTTGAATAACATCTTCAAACCCTAATGCTTCCGATTACTGCTTATACTCTTACCACCTCTACCACTATGGGATTTGAATCGACAACTGCATCTCTGTGCTAATGTGGTGTGGCAACTCGGACTGATGTACGTACGTACGAAGTTCTACGTTGTTACTGACTGACTGACTATTGACCGTTTAAATATTACTCGATCAACCATTCCTTTTACCATGTATATATGCGCTCGAATCCTATTAATAGCCTTTACCTTGCTTAACTGCGCCTTAATTCGATTTGACTATAAATTTGCCTCTGTATTCACCGGATACAATTGTAATTTTATTACCTGTGTTATCATCCACTAATAAATTATAGTCGCCTCTTCTTATAACCTTCTGAATTTAAACACCGTTGGGATTTATATAATAGCGGTTATCAAGGTGACTAATTAATAAAACTAAGCCCCAGTACAGACAGATTTTACCAAAGATTAATAAATTCGAAATCTCTAAACATTTCAATATCAGCGTATCTTTCATATTTTCTTAAAATATGATTGACTGTCCGATGAATATTTGATAAATTGAAAGGGTAAACTTTAAAATGTCATCTCTTGAACTTCATCATCAAATAGGAAGTAATGTAATACTTAGCAGGTTCACAATATTCATATGTGATTAGATATCTGTATGAAGAGAAAGTCTAACATTTGTGCAAAACTGGATTTTTCCACAGAGTGTTCACTTCGAATACAAATTTCCGTATTGACAAAACGCTGATATTATAAAATGATAAGACTGTTTATTGTCATTACGAAATAAATTGGTGTTTGATACTCATTATAACGATAGAATCAATTAAAATATAATTGACGATGAAGACTACTTTATTTACCAACCACTAATTAGTTATTCTGCTTGTCTTCATCTAATCACTGATGTGCACAAATATTTGGTCGACAGCATTCGATCTACACTAAGAAGAACCTGACATACATAACATTGATCACTACCCAGTGATAAATCAATTGTAAATATATATCAGTCCTAAACGAGGTCAGTCATGGCCCGGATAGCTCAGTGGTAACGTCTCCCTGAAGATTACAGGTACACCTTGCTGACATGTGCCAAATAACACGAAACCTAGGTCCAGGGTTCCTTGTTGACTAACTCCAACCACAATCTTATCTCAACATAGTGTACGCAATGTCAAGTCACTTGGACTGGTGGTCATATTGCGACTTGGTCAATAGGATTCGATCTGCACTACGAAGGACCTGATATACATGATATTGAACACCATCCAGTAATCAATCAACTGTAAATGCATAAATACTATCTTATAAAACATATTTCACAACTAGTATTAAAATTTGCATCAAATCAGTTGAAAAATAAGCATTTTAAGCGATACTGTATTCTCTGATTTTATATCATGTTCAGTTTAACATCCATTTCTTATCTCTCATTAATAAAAACTATCATAGTTTCAATTGAACTTTATTCAACTTTGTATTGAGTAGATATTTAATTATGAAACTAATTTCCTATGTTGTCATGTGGTTAGAGGTAAGGGAAAGGAATACCTTAATCTAGGTTTCGGCCAGACCAAGACCTATCAACTGGTAGTAATTCGACCTAACAATCTAAAGTCTAAACACAATGCAAATGACTGTGAATCACTTAGACCAGTCACAACACTACAATCCGATCAACAGAAGTCTATGATTATCACTGAAGATTAAAAACATGATAATGATTATTATTCAGTGATTTATCAATCATTGATTTGATAATTATATACATACAATTTTATATTATCACAAGTAAAGTTTACTTACAACATAATAACTTGTACCATTCTCATGACAACTTCATTAAGAACAGAGAAAAATTGTACCATAGTTACAGCACGATCACCCATTTGACCAAGTATTATACCAAATATAATTGAGAATGACACCAATCCTAGAATTGTTAAAACAAAAGCATTAACCTATTATATCGTTTAAGTATAACATATATCGTTTATAGTTTGAACTGATTTGATTAAAACAAGCTTGAATCAATGTTATGAATCTTAATCTGAATAGAATAGATTAGCTGGATTATAGTTGACACGATAATAAGCTTTTTATAAGATTATATCTTACTTACTTACTTACTTAAGCCTGTACCCCTTATAGATAAGCATAGGTCGCTCACCAGCACTCTCAATTCAACTCTGTCCTAGAGAAACCATCCTAGTTGCTATTCATCCTGTTCATGTATGCTTTGAATTTCCGACGTAGTGTGTTCTTAGACTTTCCTCTTTTCCGTTTCCCTCGAAGATTCCAAGTTAGTGCTTGCCTAGTGATACAGTTTGATAATTTCTGTAATGTATGTCCTATCCACTTCCAACGTCTTTTTCTAATTTCCAATACAGCTGGAAGTTAATTTGTTCTCTCCCACAGTAGGTTGTTGCTGATGATATCCGGCCAACGAACAGTCAGTATCTTGCATAGCCAATTGTTAATAGATACTTGTACATTATTGATAATGGTTGTGGTAGTTCTCCACGTTTCAGCTTCGTATAGGAGAACTGTCTTGACGTTCATATTGAAGATTCTGTCTTTAATATTGGTTGACATTTGTTTTGATCTCCATATGTTATTCGATTCTAAGAATGGGGCCCTTTCTTTGCCAACCTTCGTCTTTACGTCTGCATAAAATCTCTCACGTTCACCGATGATGCTACCCAGATCATTGAGAGTTTCTATACTTTTCAGAGCTTCTCCATTAAGTGTGATTGGATTGGTGTTCTATGTGTTGCACTTGAGGATCTTGCTCTTTCGTTTTTGTATGGTGAAAGACTATATCTTGCTGTTTTGAAATAAATTTCTAACAAATGTCATTAATCATTTAAACTGAAATACGATATATTGAGATATTGTCAATTACTCTGTTAGGGAAATTTCAAATACGAATACCAATTATCTTGGTGCTATCTTTTCCTCTGATCTATTTCAGTCTTCTCTTTACTGTTATCGAAGAGAATTTCTACGTGCTTTTGGGATTACTCGACATTTACTCTTACAGTTGGTCAATCCTTGCATATTACCTGTTAGTCTTTACTGCCCTCCATTACTCCCTCCCGTGCCTTAGAGAAAAGACCACTGTATTGTGGAGAGTTCTGAACGCAGTTATCAGAGTATGTAGTGAATCTTTTAAGGCCATTATTAGTATGGTGGTGGCTAGACATCTCAAGTCTTCCATATTCCAGTGAGGTATTATCTTATCAGATACTAACCATCCTCCTTCACTGATATCTTTCTCCTTGTATATCTTCTGGTAGAATGAGACGTCAATACATTAAAACCCATGCACGCAAGCAAAGATATAAAAGTTCCATAATACCTTATCTAGCAAATTTACCCTGTGATGAGCAAGTGGTTAAAGTTGATCTTATCAATAACCTACATTATTAAACATATTTCTAATTGAAATGTTGTACAGATTCAAATCCTTTTTCACCCTTTTCTTCTTTTTTTTGTAAAAGAAATTCGCAGAAATGCCTCGTGCTGAGAATTCTATATTGTACCAAAATATAATAATGAATGAAGCCATTAATAATAACAATAATCCACAGAATCTAGCCATATTTCGTAATAAGGCGGTAGGACATAATTTCTTTTTTAGTAATCAGTTAATCAACTCGTACTTCTTTTTCACATCTATATAATTTAACCTAACTTTTGTTCAAACCCTGTAGATTAGCATAGCTGATCCGATTGTTAGATGCAAATGGTTAGTGTTCTCCGTGTTGTATTCGAGGATTTTGCTTTTTTCTATGTGTATGTTGATGCCTACTGATGCAGAGACTGATGCTACACTAGTTGTCTTCAAGTGCATTTGTTCGTGTGTATAGGATAGAAGAGGAAGGTCATCTGTGAATTCCAAATGTCCTAATTGGTTGCGAGCTGTCTATTGCATTTCATGCTTTCCCTCAGATGTCGAGGTCTTTATAATCCAGTCGATCATCAGAAAAAAGAGGAAGGGGAGAGTAAACAGTCTTGCTTAACTCCGGTCTTTACTTAGAATTTATCTGTCAGCATTTGAGTAGAACTCGTCATTATACATCAACTTCATTAACTATGAGAGGGCGTTTGACAGTGTGGATAGGGGAACATTATGGAAACTTCTTCGATACTACGATGTACCTGTGAAGATCGTCAACATTATCCAGAATTCATACGACAGACTACAATGCATAGTCGTGTATAGTGAACAGCTGACAGATGCATTCCAAAAACCAAAGTATACTAACTAGTATCTAATCAACAACAATTTTCAATCAATTAATTATTATACTATCAGTACAACGTTCAAAAAAGTTAAGATTTTTCATTGAATACAATCTTATTTACAAAATGATATCAACTTCATTATCATTGAAAATTTAAATAAGTTTTCCATCTTCATTTAAGAATCCTTTAAATACTCTTATCCGAGACCTTTTAGTTTCGAAATAGTCAAAATATTATTATATGCTCCAAAATGGAAATCTGACAGTCTATTGTTCATCACATTCAAATATCCTAACCTTAAACATGATTATCACTGTGAAAATACAACTAATACCAGAATAATTTAAAAAGCAATACGAAGAAACAGAAAAGTAATATAATCAAAAGAGAGGTTTGTGGAGATTTTAGAAATTCAATAGTTGAATTCATGAGTCAATTAAAGCTAAACCACCATGGAAAACCTGAAAGCACTGGACAGCCGTTTCGTCCTACTGTGGGACTCCTCAGCAGTGCACATCCATGATCCTACCTCGCGAGATTTAAAACAAGAACCTATCAGTTTCGTGCACGAGCGCTTAACCACTAGATCACTGAGCCGGCCGACATCCAACAGTGTTAGTGTCTAACTTCAACCAATTCGTGAAATTGCGCTACCGTTCACCATTGTCTTCAGTGAGCTAGTATCTTACAGCAGACCTAGTTGAACTCGACTAGTCATAGCTTTGAACTAGAACTTCAAGAAATACATATTGAAGTCTATCACTAGTGAGCACATGAGCACCTGTATTCGAATCCTGAGGGCAAGATCGTGAATACATACAGTTGAGGAGTCCCATAGTATGACGAAACAGCTATCCAGTGTTTCTAGTTTTTCTATGGTAGTCTAGCTTCAATTGACCCATGAATTCAACTATTAAATAATAATATGGTTAGTATGTAATAAAACATGTAAATGGATAATGAGAAATACGAAAACCCAGAAAAAATTTAGATTAAAACATGGTTAATTTATTGGTTATAATGAAATGGATACCAATCTAGTTATTTGATCTGTGTGTGTGTGTGTATGTGTGTAGATCACAGATATGAAATAACCTCAATAGATGTAATCGATTTTTGTTTTTTTTTGTTTTTTGTTTCGTTATTCTTGATTCCCCCCCCCCACTGAAATAATCTTAGTTGGATATTTTTGTAACGAAATTTGAATAATAAACAAAAAACATGGTGATTGTTAACATGGGACTGGATTTTGTTTCTTCCAATGTTTAATATGTTTTCTGAAATTTGATTCAGTTTTGTATTAAACAAAGTGACGGATAATGAATAATGGAATTGATAGATTTTATCTATACAACTTAATCATTACGAATAATAATAAAGTGATTTCAGTAGTTGAGATCATGAGTTGTTAGAAGCTAGAATAACATGAAAAATCTGGAAACACTAGATAGATGTTTCTTCCTATTGTAGGACTCTTCAGCAGTCCATATTCATGCTCCCACTCACAAGTTTTGAACACAGGTACTCATGTGCTCACTAGTGAATGACTTCGAGACGTATTTCCTGAAGATATAATCAGAAGCTGTGACCAATGGAGTTCAACTAGGTCTGTTGTGAGATAGTACCTTATTGAATATAATTCATTTGATAATGTTTGCTTGTATCTTCTCATTGTTGTTTAGGACTGCGATTGATCAGTCTCTGATTGGCATCCTGTGTGCATTGCCTCGATATTGCCTTAATTCACAAGCATTATAATTAAATTTAAACTTCATTCTATTTCACAAGCAAGTGTCTATCAGGACTCAGTAAATAAGTGAATAACGCGATGGCGTTTGAAGCCAATGGTACTGGGTTCGAGTCCCAGAGTGAACATTAACTCTGAGATGCAGGTACACCCAGCTGAAGAGTCCCCAAATAGGATGAAACGCTCATCCTGGATTCCACTACTAGCCACTACCTACCCTTTTTTTATAATTAATAAGATATTTTCCATTTCTTAATGAGTATTAATAATAACAACAATAATAATTAGGTATTGTGTTGATATTCTTAACTCATTTATTCAATAAAATATGTTTACATAATAGTTCTATTATTCTTTGATCTCTTTTTAATTGTTACCTTAATCATTCATTTTTATTATTATTCTGTTTATACATCATTCTTAATCATTTTCTATCATTAACCTCTGTCTTTATGAATTCTAATTAACCTAAAACAACAATTAAAGTAGAATAATATACATTCATTTTATTTCTGGTCACGTCACAAAAAAAAGAATATTTAAGGTTAAAAGGTGTAATCTAATCGATCATCGTTATGTCACCAACATTGTTACCAGACAGAAATACCTAACTCGTTTACGTTACTATTCGAAAATTCAAACAGAATCTATGTGTTCAACTGTTGATTCATTACTATAATGATAAATCTATAATTGTGATTGAAATCTTAATCTATTATTACTCTTATTCTGTTATCTAACCTTCACTTGGATAATTACTATTTTAATGGTTGAATTTATGAGTCGATTTAAGCTGGATCACCCTGGAAGACCTGGAAGCACTGGATGCCAGCTCATTGGTTAAGCGTTCTCGTGTTGGACCTATGGTCCTAGATTTGAATCCCGTATGCGAGTTCGTGTATGTATACTACTGAACAGTTTAATACTAAGGAGAAACGGCCGTATATGTATGCAACTAACTGATTACTGCTTAATAATAAATATCCTGTTTATTAATTTCTCAATACTGATCGAATTTTATCTAGAAAATTACAATGTGACTAGCCATCTGAAGAACTCTACATCGTCTGTGCCATGTTGACATGTATGTCGGTTGAAAGCAGCCGATTGTACTTGGGTTTTTTCCCTGATTGACCCACATCAAATAGGCTTATCTGTAGTCTAAAAACAGGTTAATCATGGCTCGAATAGTTCACTGTTAAAGACTGAGATAGTGAAGCTGGACAATATAGGTTTAAATCCCATGGAGAACATAAGTTCTCTCAAGAATTCAGGTACACTTTACCGATGAGCAGTAACTAGCATTAAACTTAGGTCAAGGGTTTCCTGTTGTCTACTTCCAACCACCTAAACGATCATTATATTGTTTAAATTTTACAATATTTATAAAATTAAGTTATTTTGTTCATCAGTTAAAGTTAGTGTGAAGAAAGAAAAGTTTTAATAAAACACTTTATGTACTCAAATACAAATAAACGTGTGCTACATCTTGATGTGATGGTCTAACATCGATTGGTTCATGATCTCAATCAAAAACTTAATAATCTTCACAAACCTATACTGATAATTACCATGTGCTCACTAGTGACTAGCTTTATGAGAGAATTCTCGGAGTTTTAGTGAGAAGCCGTGATCAGTGAAGCTATTCCGTGTAGGATAGAGACAGGTATCTACCTCAGTACAATGGAAGATGGTGACGCAAATCCATGAATTGATTGAGGTTAGACATTAACAACTTTAGATGGCGGCTCAGTGGTCTAGACGTTAGGCGTTCACGTGCAAGACTGGGTTTGAATCCCGCGAGCGGGGTCGCGGATTCGCACTGCTGAGGAGTCCCGCAATAGGAAGAAACGGTCGTCGTGCTTCCAGGTTTTCAATGGTGATCTAACATCAATCGGTTCATGATCTCAATCAAAAATATACGTGTGCTACTTCTTGATGTGTTCGTTTGTTTTTCTCATTCTCCTCTAATATTATTTATCTCCATCTGTTAAGTTAGAAGATACAATAAGTAATTCCTGAATAAGTCGAGACGATAAGATTTGACAATATAGATTGAAGGTATCTTAGACTATATGTTCTTTAGATTACACTATTACGGTATTCTGAACAGTCCTCAAATCAGTCCAACATAACTCTACAATATTGTAGTTGAATTCATTTTGTGCCGAAATTTGTCAGTAAAACACTCAATTAAAAAATTCTAGTGATCATCTATACTTTATTAAATTCAGCTTTCATCTCAGAAGGAAATTAGGAAAAGACGATGGAATTGGATAGGACATACATTACGCAAATCATCAAACTGCATCATGAGGCAAACCCTAACTTGGAATCCTGAAGGGGAGCGGAAAAGAGGAAGGCCAAAGAACATATTACGTCGTGAAATAGAAGCAGATATGAAAAGGATGAATAACAACTGGAAAGACCTGAAAAGGATTGCCCAAGACAGGGTTGGATAGAGAGTGCTGATGAACGACCTATGCTCCTCGACGAGGAGTAACAGGCGTAAGTAAGTAATTATGTTTTGTTTATTGATTTCTTTACTAAGCACTGTCAAGTACTGTGACAGTTTTAATCAATACTTTAATTATAACTACGATCGTTGGTAGCCTGTACAAGTTACACATATTTGTATCAAAATGAATTATATTCAGAACAGTAACCATAAAAAGTAGCAGGGTATGTATAATGTTATGAAGTTGCTCTTACCTAAAACATTAGTACTATCCACATATTTCGGTTTTATGGCTTCATAGCTGATTAGTTTTGTTTTGTTTTCCATATTCAATGTACCATTGTTTCCATCAGTTAATCGAATATACTTCGGACGCTTAACAACTGTGACGTAACTACTTTGTTGTTGCTGTAAACATGCTTGTACTACATTTTCCGGAAATAGATTTCTGTCAATATAAAATAATAAAAGATAAATTTAATTAATTGAACATAATATCTACATAATGAATATTTGTAAAAGAAAAACACTCGAAAAAATCTCAACTATTTTTATTTGAATGATGCCAATCTGTGTTGAGTGTGAGATGGTTATCCACCTCAGACAATACATGAATTGTTGAGCAAGACCATAGATCGTTTGAAGTAAAGCATTAACACCATTGATTGTCAACTCAGTGATCTATAATTTAAGCGTTCGCGCGTGAGACCGAATGTCCTGGTTTCGAATCCCATGGATAGGATCATGGATGTGCACTGCTGAGGAGTCCCATACAATGAAGAAACGGCTATCCAGAGCTTCTAAGTTTTTAGTGGTAGTCAAGCCTAGATTGATTCGTGAATTCAACCGTAAACATACTTTTACCACACTTAATTATTCATGGTCAATAACAAAAAAACGACATGAAGTAGAAAATGGACAAGTATTTAACCTCAAGTAAATTTTGACGACCTACTGTAGTGTATTCTATCTAAGTGCTTTCAAATAGACCTGGAAATATAATGTTAACCATCTAATAACAAAAATTTATTTCATCCAAATATCTCAAGAACGTATTACCACAAAACGTCTCCCGGTTATGAAGCCTAATTTTAACATACTTTAGAGTTTAGTTGTATAAAATGTAAGTACTACGACTGTATGAAAACCTAATGGCATCCAACTCATAATTTGCGTGCAAAATTTAAACCTTCTTGAATATAAGATTTTCTACACAAAAACAGAATAGTGTGATTGATTAACAATGCGATTAGTTGACAGTTCACTTCGACATTGAAACAACTGTGCACAGTAGAAGTGTGTAACCACAGAAAAGATTATTGTTGAAGATATGCATCCAGTTGAGAGACAGGACATACAACACTTATATGTACGCTTTGTAATAGTATATTTGGATATATCAGACAGGTTTTGTGGATATCATAGTAATTTCAATGGTTAAGATCATGAGTTAGTTGAAGCTAGACCACCATGGAAAACCTGAAAGCACTGGATGGCCGTTTCGTCCTATTGTGGGACTCCTCAGCAGTGCGCATCTACGACCTCGCCCACTGCGAGATTCAAAACCAGTAGGTCCTGATTCATGATCTTAACCATTGATATTTGAATAGTTCAATGTAAACATATCTGACTATTACGTTAAGTAATCAAAAATGAATGATCGTCATTTCAAAGTTCATTCATAGATACACAGTTACAAGTTACTAAAGTACAGTGACATAAAATTCGCAGAACTTGATAATAAAAGGTATGATCATTATCAATTCTGAAAGTAATTGTATACAGAGATTATCCGATGAAGGTTCAACTAAACATGATTCATTTTCATTATATCCAAATGAGTAGAAAAAATTGTATTTCTGACATTTTATGACTTCAAGTAATTTACTTCTTCAGAGTAAATAAATAACCGAAATCAGCACAAATCTAAATAGTATGTGTTTATAACAAATATTGTAAAGATTATAAGATGGTCATTACTTCAATGGAATAGAATGAATGCAAAACAGACTATGATTTAAACAAAGTTTAACTAAAGGAACAACGTAGGACCAGGCACTAAAGGAACAGCTCTAAAATAGCTAACATGAGAACAGTATAAGAATAATAAGAAGTGCTACATACAGTAAACTAGAGGTTTTATATTCAATCAAAATCCAATTAGAACCTTCATTATGGTTGTTTTCTATCAATAACAAGTAGAAATTCACATAAACCTAATGGATCTATTTTAAAATTCATAAGAATCAAATAACACTAAGAGTTGACTTTAAAAAATTCACTAATATTTTTGTGGAGGAGGCCCGTTATTTAATCATGATTTAGATCGGACAATGTTGTCGAAAGGGCTCCCCACTTTAGTGGCCCAAGATCTGACTCTAATGAGATCGTAATGATGATTGTTGTTGAAATATATATATATATCGCCTATCCTCGTATATAATCATCAACTTGAATCGCGTTAGTCGATAACGGAATGAAATAAGTCAAATAACGAAAATGGACTTGTGAATACATATATTTTTTATATTAAGTGAATGGAACAGAACAAAGCAAAACGAGCTGCAGTGGATGTGGCAGGTAAGCCGACTCCCCTTTAACCAAGCGTTAATCAATATTTATAGTTACACAAAATTAAGTTACAGATATGTAATGAGTAATGGGATAAGAAATGTACACACACCTACGCGCTCATATGAAAACAGTCAAGATTGATAAGCGAATAAATAACAAGGTCAGAATGTGACTCGAGTAGAATGAATAGAATGGGCTGTCCGAAAGCTAGAATAAGGTATATGCGCTTAACATAATAACCGACACTACAATATAACATTATCTAACGTAATACTTGATCAGGATCTTTACAGTGTGTAATGTAATCGAAAATTCTCATTATAGGGTTGTAGAGATTATTAAGTTTTTGAATTAAACCGATTGATGTTAGACCACCATTGAAAACCCGGAAGCACTACATGGTCGTTTCGTCTTATTCTAGGACTCCACAATAGTCAGCACCCATGATCCCGCCTCTCGAGATTCGAATCCAGGATCTATCAGTCTCGCTCACGTGCACTTAACCACTAGACCACTGAGCCGGTTGACATCTAACGGTGTTAATCTTTAACTTCAATCAATCCATGGTGGTCTAGTTTCAATTGACTCATGAATTCAACTATTGAAATTACTAAAATCTCCACAAAACCCCCTTTCTGATTATAATCATTTAATAATTGACAAAATAAAGCGTAACCGACATCATCATCATCAACTTAAGTGTCATCATGAATTTTCTTTTGTTCTTCTAATGTTTATCACAATGATGAGAAACGATTGACAGGATATTCAATCTGTTTTGTCCAAAAAGACAAAAACCTAACTTAATGGCTGAATAATTTAATGATTAACAAAAATTAAAATCAGTTAAGCGTTAACAAAATATTTTTTGTAAAACGAAAAAGAGGAAAAAACAAAGTAGATCATACCCGCTAGTGAATAAAAAATTTGGGGGGGGAGGGAATTGTGAATTTAAAATGTTAATACATGAAATGTGAAAGAAAAGTTTGATGAGACTTTCTCTTGGTGATCGACTGGATTATGAAGACGTCAACATCTAAGGGGGAACATGGGATACAGTGAACAGATAGGATGCAGCTTTACGATCTCTGGACTTCACAGATGATCTGGCTCTTCTATCACACACTCAGTAACAAATGTAAGAGAAGACGACCAGTGAAGAAACAGCCTTACCAGCAGTAGGTTGCAACATACATAAATGGGAAAGCAAGATTCCCTAATACAACACAGCATGCAACAATCCAAAAACATTTGACCGAGAAGCTTTGAAAGATGCAAAAACCTTCACATATCTGGGCAGCATCATTGATGATGTAGATGTGAAGGCGCGAATCGGTAAAGTAAGAGCAGTCTATCCACAACTGAAGAACATCTGGAACTCAAAACAACTGACAACCAATACTAAAGTCAGAATTTTCAAAATAAATATCAAGACAGTTCTACTGTATGTGGTGGAAACTTGGAGAACTACCAAAGCTATCATCCAGAAGACACAAGTGTTTATTAACAGTTGTCTATGCAAAATACTTCAGATTCGTTGGTCAGATACTATCAGGAACAAATTATTGTGGGAGAGAACAAACCAGATCCCAGCGGTAATATGATAATATGATCTTCATCATCATATTCTTAATGACATGTTCACATTTATCGATTTTAAAGACGTCAGAAAATGTAATCTTAATTCAGCAAGAATTTATTTACAGACTTATTCATTTGCTATCTCAATTACATGTATTGTTACTAAGTCATTAACCTGTTTCTCTCCTGTTTTTGTAACTTTAAAATACCTCTATTTAGGTTGAATATTCTAGCTACTATGTATAGATTTATGTACTCTCTATTTATCCATAGTGTTTAAATGAGAGCTGAGTAATACTTTTCAGTTAAACTAGATTATATCCAGTTAGATTTGAACAAATGACTTCTAGATGAACTTTGTACTGATAATGTTGTGTAGAGAGAAACTAAAACTTTCACAAGTAAACAAGATAAATCAGATAAATAAAAATGTTAATGTCTAACTTCAACTAATCCACGAAATTGCGTCACCTTACACCATTGTCTTCAGTGAGCTGATATCTCACAATAAACCTAGTTGAACTCCAATAGACACAGGTTTCTTACTAGAACTCCAGGAAATGCGTCTTGAAGTCAGTCACCAGTGAGCAGATGATTATTATCAGAAGGGGTTTTGTGGAGATTTTAGTCATTTCAGTAGTTGAAATCATGAGTCCATTGAAGCTAGACCAGCATGGTGGACGATGGCGTAATTTCGTGGATTATTTGAAGTCAGACATTAACGTCGTTGGATGCCGGCTCAGTGGTCTTAGTGGTTAGGCTGATAGGTCCTGGATTCGAATCTCGCGAGGTGGGATCGTGGATGCGCACTACTGAGGAGTCCCACAGTAGGACAAAACGGCCGTCTAATGCTTCCAGGTTTTCCATAATTGTCTAGCTTTAATGGACACATGATTTCAACTAAAGAAAGTGTACCAGAAGAATATCTTTTAAATTTCATATAAAGAGAACAAGTTGATATGTTGATATCCGTAACAAAGTTTTCCTAAATTTACAGTCCGAACAGTAAGCATTCCCTGTTGTTATTGATAAGTTGAGTTTAAGTATTTTCGAGTTATTCAAAAAGAATCCTATTCAATTTAAACGTATTAAAATGATCAAAATATTCTGGTTTAAGATATTTCTTACGATGATCAAATTATAAGTATGAACTTATTATTTATAGCAATCACTATAGGAATAGATTTAAAGATCGATTAGTAATGAGGCCAATATGCAAAGAAATGATGAATTAAAGTTATTTACAATTCTGATAGACATCATAAATGGATAAATGTTAGATCAACGTTGAAA